GGAATGCCACACTGAAATCCAAAATGTCAAGTATTGCCTCATCCTTGCACTGAAAACTGGAAACAACCCCAGGGAACAGAGCCCTCCTGGGGGCCACGAGGCAGATGAGCACAAGGTCAGCACCACTGTGTTAATGTTCACAACATGTAGAAACTGCACAGTTTCAACAGTTTATTTGGAAAGTTGCATTAAAAAAAAAAAAAAAAAACAACCAAACTAACATAGTTCAAGAAGAAACAAACAGCTGAGAAACTTTCACTTTGATGAAAAAGGAGCATTAAGCCAACAGGATTTCAACTTCAGTATTTACAGGTTACCTGAGGTGCAACGATATATATTTCTTTCCAAGAGAAACTCTCCAGCAGCGCTCAAGTATGTAAAAATAGAACTCCTACCTAATATTTGGTCAATTAACTCTAATGAAAAATACTCAAAAAGTCAATGTTCAATATATACATTCTCCACACACCTTCATAACCCAATTTGTTTCCACTACCTTTTTTTTTTATGGCTATTTGGTACAAAATGTTAAAAGAACCAGTATTATAAACCTGTAGTGTTTCTATATACAGTACAATCACAGCTTAGTTCAGTAGCTTTCAACAGTGACTCCAGGGATGAACTGCAGGTATAACTCCATAAAACATGCACTTGTGTCCTTAGACCTAGGGGGAAAAAAGAGGGGGAAAAATTAAGTTTATGGCATATAAAACATTACAACACATATTTTGCTGCAAGGAGCATCTTTAAAACATACAGGGAACTCCCCCCACACCTCTGCACAGTGCATTTAGGAGCTGATTCTGCCATGAAAGGATCTTTTCTTTCCCAGATAAAAACTGGCCATCGAAGGCTACTTTGGAACATGCTCAAGCAGAACTCCAGGCATGAAACTGAGTTAATGTAAACCAGCCCAACTAGCCACAGATATGCTCAGCAGGGACACAATAAAAGCAGCAAGATTAGGAGAGTATCAAGGAATAAAGTGTTTTAAAAGCTGTCAAGATAGTTCTGCTCCCAACAAAGGCAAAATCCCTCCAGAAAATAGCATGTGCTGGTCCAGGTGCTGCAGCATTCCAGACATAATTTCACCGAGGAACATTATCTGTGGCTCAGGGTTTGCAAGAGGCACACAGAGCTATTTATAGCCTCAGAGAGCACTTATCTCCTGAGCAGCTAAGGATGCTGCAAATACAATGGGGTTGTTAAGTTCTCAGACACAGCTGAAGAGCTGAAGGAATTCAAAACACAAAGCTGATGCTTCTCATTTGACCTGTTTCCCTGAGAGGCTACACACACACACACACACACACCCAGAGGAAAAACTATTTGGAATAACCTTTCCAGTGCACACAGAAACTGTCCAGGAGCTGTCAGGAAACCCTCAGCCCTCCATGAAGGAGCCCAAAGAGCTGTGCTGTTTGAGGCAACCCTCACACTCCTCAGCACTTGTGACATGAGTCATGTCTGCGTTTTCAGGAAGGACTGACCTACATTTTCAGGAAGGACTAACCAACATAACCTCTCACAGGACTCAAGATCTGCAGGAAGGACTAACCAACATAACCTCTCGCAGGACTCAGGATCTCTCATCACAGACACTTCCTCTCATTTCTAGTTCTCCACACCACGTTCCCCCACCTCCAAGGACTGACCTAAGGAGAAAGTCCTTTCATTCCACAGAAGAACTTTTTCCCTGTGAGGGTGGTGAGACACTGGCCCAGGTTGCCCAGGGAGGCTGTGGCTGCCCCAACCCTGGCAGTGTGCAAAGGGTGGATGAGCCTTGAGCAACCTGCTCTGGTGGGAGGTGTCCCTGCCCAGAGCAGTAGGCTGGGCTGGATGATCTCTAAGGTCCATTCCAACCCCTTAACATTCTGTGATTCTCTGAACACTTCCCACTGGGATTGTAATTTAATCAATATATTTATTTATTGGTTAGTGTTAGCCCTTCCATTTCTTTCCAGAAAGGAGCATTTAGGTATTTCTTATGCAAACCACTACCACTATCAAAACAACCAATGTTGCCACACCAACATTTGGGTGACTTTAAAAACGAGGGAGTTTGTGTCTTTTTCAGCTGTTCTGGCTCAGCCTTTGACAACCTCTCATCATGCAGTGCCCTCAATGCCAGAAATACACGATGCACCATATCAGTGACAGTGAGTTCAGAAGGTTTATTTACTGTTTGCTGAGGGATTCATTCATTCTTCTTCTCAATTCTTCTTGTCGCTGGGTCGGAAATGTGTGGTGCCCACGAAGGGTTCGTAGCTTCTCTTTTGCAGCACACCACTGGATAAGTGTTGGTAGGACACTGATCTCTTCCCTGGGGGAAAAAAAAAAAAAAAAAAAGAGTCATTTAGAGGAGTTAGAGTTATTTCCTGCCCATTTTCAGGTCACCATCAGCATCCAGAATCCCCAGATACTGCAGATAATGCTATGATAAATCACCTCACCATCAGGGCATGGGACAATAGATATTCCTAGTCCTATTCGATGTTCTATGAAATTCAGGATTCAGAATAAATATAAAGGGAATGAAAAGGATTAGAATCATAGAACCATCAAGGCTGGAGGAGACCTCTAAGATCGAGTCTCACCATTAACCTGCCACTGCTGTAACCCCTAAACCAAATCCTCCAGTGCCACATGCAGACACCACTTAAACACCTCCAGGGGTGGTGACTCCACCACCTCCCTGGGTAACAATTCCAGTGCCTCAACACCCTCACAGGGAAAAAAACTTTTCCTAACATCTATTCATTTAACAACTCTGTGCTAAGCCTTACACATGTGATGTCCATCTCCAGATGTCACTCACTGTGGAATTTCTTTGCTTAACTCACCACACAGCAAAGGCCTCACCTAACGAAGCCTAAGTGCTGCATCCTTAATGTCTTCATATCCAGCTCCTGTGTTTGAAAACTGAACTGCTGAATGGATATTTGAGAGGAAAATTGGACCTACTCCATTACACAGGGACTGTCCTGTGCAGGGCCAAGAGTTAGACTCGATGACTCTGGTAGGTTCCTTCCAACTCAGAATATTCTGTGGTATTGCCATCATAGATTATATGGCACTTGTGACACTTTAAGGAGTGTTAATACACATTTACTTGCAGACTTTTGTTAAGCAGTTTTCAGCCTGGTGTACAGGTAGCTCCATGTTTATCTGAGCCCATGAATTCAGATTTATAGATGTGAAATCAATGCCTGTTCCATATTAAGTCTTATTAGCTTAAGCAAAGCAGTCAAAACCACTTCATAAAATGAAGGCAAAAGAAGTCAAGAATCATTACTCCCACAGGACACAAAAAGCCCAACTGCTATCCATATTCCATGAAAGCTTTAAATGCAGCATTGAAAAAAAAAAAACCAAACAACAAATCCCTAGCAAGCTTTAATTAAATTAAAATGGCAAAGCCAAATTAATATTTCAACAGAACCTCGGAAGCCATTGGAGTGTGTCATGAGCAATTGTCTTTAATTTGCAGCCTCTGCCAGATCAATCAGCCAACAGGTTAGCCCCCAGAACTGCCATCACAGAGGCAACTGGAGCTGAGGGTAACGCGAAGTGAGAGGCCTCAGAACATCCCTGTCTCTGCAGGGCAGTGGTGATGGCACAGATCCTGAGCAGCATCAGGCTCTCAGCAAGTTTGCCAAGTGGAACATATTCCCCTGACAACTCGAGCCAGTGTTTAACACGGCACACAACATGCTCCCACGACCCACACAACTGCCACGAGGCAGAGAGAGGGTTTGACATTCTGCTTTAGAGTTCAATAAAGGCTGCAAAGCTGCAGGTTTGCACCTGGAGGACTCTGCATGGCACAAAACACAGCTCTGAGGAGCTGCAGCTCCAGCCAAACAGTTGTGGTTCAGATTTTTAACAGAGCTAACAAACTGGCACTTTCCTCTTCAGTCTCCACTCACATTAAAACTCCAATATCAAGAGGTTTGCCTGGTTGCTGCCCTGTGCCCTCTCAACAACCATCAAGGTTTGGGTTGGGTTCTTCCAGGCAGAAAGGTTGGAAAACTAAGAAATTAATCCAAAACCCCCCTATGTTTTAAAAATTATTCTAGTTTTTATTATTCTTTCTTTTTTTAAAATTATTTCAGGTTTATTATCTCTAATTTTTAGTTTTTATTATTTCCTCTATTTTTATTATTTCTAATTTTCATTATTCTATTTTTATTATTATTTCTAGCTTTATTACTTCTCTAT